CGAGATATAGCACGTTCGCTAGCTGCGATGTTTAGCATTAACACTCTAATTCGGATTTGTGCCAATGGGCCTTTGTTTATGAGAAATTACAATTTAAAGTTTGAATTGCGAGACTGTATCACGGATATGACTAAAATCTTTCAGCGAGGTGGCGTGGCCTAGCAGATTGAAGCTCCCACGTCGAAAATTTTTGAGCCGGCAGCGAGCGTTCAACGAATTATCCTTGTGCGGTTTTTTTTTATCTTACCTTAGGACATGTAATTAATGTTTTTCGAATATGATACATTTGTTTTGCATATGTCTCGTTTTTATCTATTAATCAGAGGTAATTAGGGAAGTGTCAGGTTTGTTTAACGCAAACACGAATATAGACATGTATTTTGCTTTGCTTACAATGCAATATATATTTTAGTACATATTAAAACGTTATTGATACTGTATGTAAACGTTATTGATACGTATTTTGCATTGCTTACAATGCAATATATATTTTAGTACATATTAAAACGTTATTGATACTGTATGTAAACGTTATTGATACGTATTTTGCATTGCTTACAATGCAATATATATTTTAGTACATATTAAAACGTTATTGATACTGTATGTAAACGTTATTGATACGTATTTTGCATTGCTTACAATGCAATATATATTTTAGTACATATTAAAACGTTATTGATACTGTATGTAAACGTTATTGATACGTATTTTGCATTGCTTACAATGCAATATATATTTTAGTACATATTAAAACGTTATTGATACTGTATGTAAACGTTATTGATACGTATTTTGCATTGCTTACAATGCAATATATATTTTAGTGTTAGGTGTACAACTTTGCTTCCGTCGTCTTCCTATAGATGGCTTTAGCGGTAAGTGGTGGTCGAAATAAATAGATCATAGACGTCATACAATAAACTTGGGCATCTGTCAACATAACCCCATAGAAACATTAGTCGATTTGTGTCTGCATCATAAAGTTATTCTCGATTGAAAATGTCAGTTTACGAGCCAAATTCTCGTCATTTGCGGGAGGTTTTAATTTTCTGCTTCAATATGAAGAAATCTGCGGCTGAGGCTCATCGAATGCTCTCAAATACTTATGGTGAAGCCGCTATTAATGAAAGAACGTGTCGTGAATGGTTTCAACGCTTCGGTGATTTTGACGTCGAAGACCGACATAGCGATGGAAGAGAGAAGGTTTTCGAAGATACAGAATTGGGGGCATTACTTGATCAAGACTCGTCTCAAAATCAAGAAGAATTGGCACGATCATTGGGAGTGACTCAACAAGCCATTTCAAAACGCCTCAAAGCCATGGGAATGATTCAGAAGCAAGGAAATTGGGTGCCGTACGAATTGAAGCCGAGAGATGTTGAACGGCGTTTGCTTGTGAACAGCTGCTTGAAAGGCAAAGAAGGAATTTCTGCATCGCATTGTGACTGGGGACGAAAAATGGGTTCATTACGATAACCCCAAACGCAGAAAATCATGGGGAGTTCCCGGCCATATTTCTACATTCGACGGCCAAACTGAATATTCACGGCTCCAAGGTCATGCTCGGTATTTGGTGGGACCAGCTCGGCGTAGTGTATTATGAGCTGTTAAAACCGACTGAAACAATCACAGGCGATTGGTATCGAACGCAATTGATACGTTTGAGCCGAGCATTGAAAGACAAACGGCCGCAATACAACGAGAGACACGATAAAGTGATTTTGCAGCATGACAATGCTCGATCCCATGTTGCGAAAGTGGTCAAGACATACTTGGAAACGTTGAAATGGGAAGTCCTACCCCACCCGCCATATTCTCCAGACGTTGCTCCCTCTGACTATCACTTGTTTCGATCAATGGCACACGGCCTGGCTGACCAGCACTTCCGGTCTTATGAAGAACTAAAAAATTGGATCGATTCGTGGATCGCCTCAAAAGATGACCAGTTTTTTCGACGCGGGATTCGTACGCTGCCCGAAAGATGGGAGAAAGTAATGGCCAGCGATGGACAATACTTTGAATCATAAATGTATAACTAGTTTTTTACAATAAGGCCACGAATTTCGGAAAAAAAACGGCGGAAGCAAAGTTGTACACCTAATACATATTAAAACGTTATTGATACTGATAATAAATAATAAGAAAGTGATTGTATGCATATAGCATCACCTCGAATGTCCAAATGTATACTTTTGTAACCGCGATTCGTCGCTGGTTCGGATCGCTCGTCGGATCGGGTTCGTGATAAGCGGAATAATTGAGAAACAGTGTTGGTTTTAAAAATGATAATGAATAATATATTTAAATACTAAGATGACGATAATTACAAGATACAGATCGAACAATACGTGTCGACGCCGTTGGTTTTGGTTGTTTGTATCGCCTGACAGAGGTTTGTTTAGACGCCGGTTTGCGTGATGTGACGCGTGGTGCGCGGGACACGGACGACGTCAGCGTCGCGTATTCGCGAGTTTATTCTGTTAATGTTTCTTTCGGCGTCTTATCTCTTAAGCGCGGTTGACACTTCTTCCGCGATTTTATCGGCGTTTCGGAATCATATAATGTCCGCTGTCGCTGAGATTGCAGCGTGGCTGCACGCGGGATATTGCCTTAGCGGCGCTCCCTTCGATCTCCTATCGCGGAGATTTGAGTCGTTTCGGCGTATGTGAGGCGTCCGTCTGTCCTTGTACACGGGACCTTAGCTCTCGGAGTTTCCTCTATGATTCCACGAGCTCGGCTCATTCGAACACGATTTCGGATGCGGCCAACGGGGCCGCGGGCCTTATCAGTGTCGGTCTCACGAATCCGTGAGCCGACGGCGGAGTGATTCCAGTCGCCAATCGACGAACAGTAATCTGCCAGGAGCGGAATAGAGTCGAATATCGATGACACGTATCCGTGTAACGACAGCGGAGTGACTATAGTCGCCAATCGACGAACAGTAATCTGCCAGGAGCGGAATAGAGTCGAATATCGATGACACGTATCCGTGTAACGACAGCGGAGTGACTATAGTCGCCAATCGACGAACAGTAATCTGCCAGGAGCGGAATAGAGTCGAATATCGATGACACGTATCCGTGTAACGACAGCGGAGTGACTATAGTCGCCAATCGACGAACAGTAATCTGCCAGGAGCGGAATAGAGTCGAATATCGATGACACGTATCCGTGTAACGACAGCGGAGTGACTATAGTCGCCAATCGACGAACAGTAATCTGCCAGGAGCGGAGTAGAGTCGGTCTCTCTTAGAGCGGTTGATCGGAATCGGATTCTCCGTCGGAAGCGGTGGATCGGTTCAGCTTCTCTTTCGAGAGAGGATGATCGAATCTCCTCGATTACGATTACGCGGCGTTTTATATCCCTCGAATCTCGCTTGATTCGCTATTTACCGCGGTTGTTCGGCGGTCGCGCAATATTAGAGGACGCGCTGTCCTCTTGCGCTCCTGATTTGCGTTGTTCTGCGTTTCTATTATTACGTAACGATATGCATCGTTACACTTTTATCGCCTGTAAATAAATCAAGATAGTTGTATATTCTCGTGATCATATTTTTAACTTGCCTATAAAAGTAAACATTCTACGACAAGTAGATTGCTGTACATTTCAACGATATTATTTTCAAGTTATATGTTTACTTATATTTCTTGGCGCGGAATATCTTGTTGTATGTTTGATTGTATGTTTGTCTTCTCCTCTCAACAAGAACTAAAAACTTATTAAATACAACAGAAAACATGACGTTTTAATATGTACTAAAATATATATTGCATTGTGAGCAAATACGGTACTCCTGGATGGAGTGCTCGATGCGACGTCGACCTAATGGTCTTCGCACGGGGTGCGGTCGCTTGTGTTTCTAATATAGCGGAAATCGGTTCACGTATGCGTGTCTACAGTATCCCAGCGGTGGTATCTCAAGTGTATATTTACGCTATAGAGGTACGTGGATTCTAGGACGCGTATCTGCGAGGCCTCGACAGATGTGTCTCGACTGTGTATCCGCGATATAGAAATAAGAGGGTTGAGGATGCGTATCTGTGATATCTCGGCGGATTAATCTCGATTGTATATCCACGATATAGAGATGATGGTTGTTGAGAACGCGTATCTGCGATACCTCTGCGGATGTATCTCGATCGTGTATCCACGATATAGAAATGCGTGGTTTCGAGGACGCGTATCTGCGTTACCTCGACGGATGTATCTCGATCATATATCCACGATAGATAGAGATGAGCGGTTTCGAGGACGCGTATCTGCGAAACCTCGACGGATGTATCTCGATCGTGTATCCATGATAGATAGAGATGAGCGGTTTCGAAGACGCATATCTGCGTTGCCTCGGCGGGTGTGTCTTGGTCGTTTATCCACAATACCAAGCTACTTCAGGGAGGATCCTGCTTTAGGAGGCCTAAAAAAAGCGTTTTTGGGGGGATTTTTTTAGAACAGAAAAAAATAAGCAAGTCTAGCGAATTATTTTATTGCATATTTGAACATTAAAAAAAATTTTTTTGAGAGAAAAATATTCAAACGCAGCCGATTTTTATGCACATTTGTGCAACACCTTGCAATTGCAGTCTCCAATCGGCGGGAAAGATGAAGCTCGTAATTTTCGTCTGAAACAAAAAAACCAAAGAAAATTTTAATTTCCATATATTTTTCTTCTAGATGAACTAAGAAAAACCCAAAACATCGTGAAATTTAAAATTTTTCTCAGGTTTGAAAAAAATGTGCTTTTTGTAAAAAAAAAAAATCATTTTAACTTACTAAAAAAGTTGTTTAGAGATTTTTTCGTGAATCTTTTTAGTTCAAATAGAAGAGAATACAAAACTAAAGCTAACAAGTCTTGGTTCGTTTTGATTGGTCGTCTAGTTTTCTTGCCATCACGCCCGCCAGTTTAGAAAAATCGTAAAAACGAAAACTCGAGAAAACGCGCTTTAAAGTTTACGATCAGAAAAAATGTTAATTTTTGATTACTTACAGTAATAATACGCTAATCAGCTATTTCTGCGCCATAAAGTAAACCTTCAACTTCCTCAAAAAACTCATTTTGATGCAGTTGCTCGAGTTTACGGGCCGTGCGAGCTTCCTTGCTGGAAAAAGACGTACGCCGGTTTTCCCTCTCGATCCATTGTGCGTCGACGTTATCCGCAAACATCTTACATAGCTGGCCGATTTTTAAATCGAGCAGCTGCATGGTACTTAAAACTGCAGAATATCCTTCGTTGAACATTCCTGCAGCCATGTACGCACCAATTTCAACGATTTTTCGGCCAGAATTCAGATGTTTCGAGATCATGCACCAGAGAGTGGAGTTGAAAGATTCGTTTGAATTTTGCGTGTGCCCGCCTAAGCATCGCGTCAAAAGTTCGTCGTTTGAGAGCTCTTCGTAGATTGGACGAATATGTTTCTCCACATTTTCGTCAATCAATCGAGCAGGATGCTTGAAAGACGCAAGAGAATTCGTGGCTTCAGCTTTGCGCCATTCACACCAGCTTTCGGCGCCTGCCGGACAATTCTCGTGGCGAGGAGATTTATCACTCGAACAATAATGATCTAGCGTTGCCATTACAGCTTTTTTCATATCTTTGACAGAATTAATATTTCTTCTGATTGCCAAACCATAATAGATCATTAACTTTTTAATGATGCTTTCCGTCAACCGCTTTTTACCTCCGAGCTTCTCTTCCTTCTTTTTATTTCGGAGTCGAGTTCCCATACGCTTTTGTACGTGTTCCACGCACTCATTTTTAGTAACAGGGAAATCGTCACCGTATGGATTCATTTTGAGAATACCAGCAAAAGTTTTCGAATCGCCGTCGCCGATATAATTCGTATACTTTACTCCGAATTTTTCAACAGATCTTAAAAACATTTCCATGATTGAATCCACCTCCATCTTCCCTGCTGAACCGTCGTGATTTGAGGAGCATGATTCTTTATGATCTTCATACCATTCCTCAAATTGGTCATTGTCTAATGTGTTTTTATTTAAGGCACATGAATGACAATACGCACTTTTAACGATAAGGTCGACTACTTTGCCAGAGTAATATGCAATCAGAGTTGTTACACCGAACAATGAAGTGAAGCCACGTTTTTTTCACGACCCATCGCCGGAAACTTTCAAACAATTTGCAGTTTGCTTATTTTCTACATTTTTTTCTTGCTCTTCTTTGACAGCTTTTTTACAGACACTTTCAAACATTGATTTCGACGCTAAGTATAATTGCTGCACTATTTTATCATATGTTGATTTCGCCAAACCTTGACATATATCCATAAGTCCACAAAACACATTGATGCCTTCTCGTCCAACACCAAGAAGCCTCATCACAAACACAATTCGTCTATTTATTTCGTAACCGGTATTTATTAACGGTCCTGAATTGATTTCTCGTCGACCGCACATACATGATAATACAATTTTGAAACCCAAGTCTCGATGCCCGCTCTCTGCAAATGTTATGCTTTGTTTACAAGATCTGCATATTACTATGTCAGAAATTGCAAGAAACACTGTCAGAAATTCAATTATTCGGTAATAGTGACCTGCATGTACAATTATATTTTCGGTGCTTGCGGTGGCTAATTTCTTCGCACTACTGCTTGTGTTGCACTCTGCATTGTGATTCACTTGTGAATCGATTCCCGTGGAATCTGCGTTTTCGTGGCTTCGCAGAACGATCACTGCTCGATTTATCACCTTTGGGATAACTTGACATGGTATTGTAGCGATGTGCACTCGACAAGACTCAGAGCAAAATTAACCGTTGACGCTAGAAGCAGCTCCGTAGAAGCACGTACCTTTTCAGGTACATAGTTCGGAGTTATTCGACCGAGGGAAGGAGCGCGCGCTCCAGCTGCCCGAGCGCTCGTATATCTGCTTGACACCCCACTGCGTTTAGTGCTGTATCTTTGAAAATATTGTGAATTAGCCTCTATAACTTTGGATACATATTCTTAGATACATTAGGAATAGATTTAAGCAATAAAAAAAAATCGATTTTTTGAACCTTCTAAAGCAGGATCCTCCCTTTAGGAGCTTGCTGCGTATCTGCGGCAATTGCTCGGAATCGCTAATGTGAGCGCTACTCGTCCGATGTTCGCGGTTAAGCGAGCGAGCGAATCTCATCTCGTCGCTTGTTGGCGACGCCTTTTATTTGGCTTTTCGCGGTTTTCGAATGTCTTCGCGGACGTTCGGATCTTTTCGTGTCCGCTTTTCTTCTGCGCGTTTTCCTCTGTTATTCTTTGAATTTTCCTATTTAACGCGTGGTGTTTTTGGCGCAGATCGTTATATATTCAACAATACTTATCTGTTATCCTTATATTTTCTTTGAAAATATCACGGCAAAAGTAATATTAAACAATATAAATATAATACCGTGTAATACCATAAATTAATTTCTTAATGTAATTAACTTTTTACGTAAATTAACCTCTTGACATAATATCTGGACGAACTGTCACTCGTGACAGCCGAAATCGGCATGAAACGTATTACGCAGCTTTATCTGTGTATGTGAGCGGGGATCTTCACATTTCGGAAATTAGTGGTTTGTTCTAAAATTCACTGCAGAACTTGTGACAACCTTTTTTTTGCCGACTATACATGTAGTCACGACTATTCTACTATGAGAATTATTGTGTTTCAATAGAAGAGGGTTTCTATAGAGATGCATTAATTATGCACTTCGATTTTGCACTTTATTATGTCCATGCATGCAACGATATCTTTTAACTATATTATGAATTCTTGTCGAACATGCAGAACTTTAGGGACAACTTTTTATTAATTTCTTGGCTCTGTTTTTTTGTCGGAATGTGTTGCATAAAAATGATATAAAATGATGCCGTATGATAACTAGCATATGTAATATTTAATGCATCGTTCTTATAGATCGTAAACTCAATACGTAAATATATCATATGTCGAGTATGCGTCACGACTTTTGTTCTAGGATGTTGAAATTTTTTCTTTGATGATGTTAAATAGCACGTCTCCAGTCTTCGACATGAATATTGTTAAGCATTCGGGATACGCAGGTTCGTATCGTTCCTACTTTTTATCGAAATGTTTGTTTGGTGATAGTGGTTTCTTTTTATTTACTAAATTGTGGCGTGATATATTATTCTACTGTGTAGATTTGAAAAAAAAAATTAATTTTTTGTAAGAGAGATGCATGTTTTATATAAAGTGACATTCTAAATAGTTTTGCCGGATATCTCAAAAATTGAATCTGGTAAGCAAGAATGTTTAGATCAAATTTATAGGATTTTTCGAAAGAACACCCGTTGAAAATTTTGTCATGCATAATTATATATAATATTTGTCCATACATAATTATACAGGGTGTTCAAATAGTCCCGGACCGGTGAAATATCTCGAAAACTAAGCATTTTAGAAAAAAATGTTTCAGATAAAAGTTG